TTATCAGTAGAATTTATATTGACATACTGATATCAGTAGACCAATGGTTAAATCAGTAGATCTACTGATAAATCAGTAGACCTGGCAACACTGTTCATAAGGAAGCTCTCTCTGCTTGAAGAGATGTATGATCATTGAAGTTGAGCCCAGAGCTGCTGAAAAATCTAATTTTAAAGTCTTTTGGAGCTGAAACTTTACTGAAAAGCTTGAAAATCTTATAACTGACTCCCCTACATCCCAAATTTGAAATAGAGTCACGAATCTTCTGAAGCTGAAATTAAACTAGACTTCTACATATTTCAATAGAGCAGTTTTGAAAAATATCATTTACAACCATGGTAGAATGGAAATTTACCTGAAGAAGCCTAAAAATCCTATTCCTGGCATTATACTACATCCAAAATTGCTCGACACGATTTTTGAAAAGCTGATTTTAGAGTTGGAATTCAGTATAAGAAGCTTAAACATTTCAGTGCAGAAATTCGAATTAAATTCTGATTATTATTTCCAAGCAACGCCTAGTATGTTAATTGTAGTAATTTCAAATAAAATAACAGTTCAAGCCTACAAAAAAAAACGAATTAATTCAAAAGATAAACGTTTGTCGCGCGCTTTTACGACCATTTATAGTAGAAGAACTCGACGAAAGTGTTATAACCGAAGTACCGTTACTTCTTGGGATTCAGGTCTCGGAGATGCTGCGAGAGGTCAGAGGTTTCCTATACTAACACGAAAACTTTTGACTTATTGGGAAATTCGATTATTTACTATGGGAATTTTTAGTTTTGTACAGGAAGTTTTTAGTTATCACAAGCATGTAAAAATAAAGGATTGTTCATGATTTCGACACGCCCGGTATAACAACGCAGGAAGTGGACAAAATAGAGGGGCTTAGCCTTTTATCGTATTTCGAAACGCTTGGCTGATTTTTTCCATCATACATACATACAATAATGTACCTGCACCGATTTTATTATTTGGCAAAATTTTATATGACTTTTGGTAATTTAATTTTTAATTGAATTGCAGTGGAAAACAATATGAATGACATCATAATAGCCTAGCTCAATTGATATTTTAAGCTTTTAAGTTGACATATGTATGTCCTTAATGCCCAGAAAAAAATATTTATTGAATTTTGAATTACCAAAAAACCGACTACCGGTTTGAAGTATTGGACAGAATCAACCGTTACGTTTTCGAGAGATTTATTATTATAATCGCGTGTCCCACTGTGTATTTCTTTGTTTGCTAAATGTTTAAGTAATAATCGTTTTTATCTAGCGAAGAACAATTTAATTGCATAACGAACAGTTCAACGACATAAAAGTTTATAAGCTTTTGCTTATCTTTTACATGAGTAGTTGTGATGCAGTTTACCGTGAAGCCCTACTATACTGTTCAAACAATGCAAGGATTTTATAGAATTTATATCAGGTTTATTTCATTTAAGTATTAATAAATGAATGTGGGTTTATTTAGTAAAAGCTACATAGAAATTGAATAATAAATTGCCTATTTATAGCTTGTTATCAGAAAATTTAAATGAAAAACAATAAAAAGTTTAGATATTGGAACATACAATAATAAAATTTGTACAAATTGAAATCAGAGTTTGCTCATAAAGAAAATAGGATAATGGACAGAAGTTGCTTGATTTTTGTTTTCTTACTTATTGTCAATTTTTTTCTTGTAGCATAGTTTTTGTCTGTTTTCTTCTTTTGCCTCGGTTCTTTTTCCAAGTTTTATCCAACCTTTCCTTGCTCTTATTTCTAGTTTTTAAACTATACAATTGCTGGTTTCTTCTACTCTTTTTGATTCAATTTTTTCCTATTCCAGGCTTTTACTTTTTTTTCTACCTTTTCTTGGCTCGTTTTCCAATTTGAAATTAAAATTTGGTCATAGGTACTCAAACCACAATAGGGTTTTTACTTTGGGTGGTGGACAAAAGATTTTTGAATTTTTTCTCTTCCTTACCTATTTGTTTTTTGCAGCATACTTTTTGTTAGTTTGTGTCTATTTTCTGGTCTTTTTCCAGGTTTTGTTCAGCATTATTTTGATTGAGAAGTTTCTTTTCTCTGCATTTTCAACCTCTCCTTGCTCTTGTTTCTAGTTTATAAACTACACAATTGCTGGTTTCTTCCACTCTTTTTGACTCAATACTTTCCTATTCCAGGCTTTTTTCACCTTTTCTTAGCTCATTTTCCAATTTGGAACACAAATTGTAATTAAAATTTGAACGTACCAAAATAGGGGTTATACCTCGGGATTTAGGTACTTACATAAATACATTATAGTTTTTGAAGGAATGAGATATGACAATCTTATATAAATGCGATAATTTTTCAAAAATTATAAATGCTACAAATATGAAAGGACGAGACACTTCTCTTATGGAAAATATGGAATATATGTAAATATGATATATGAAATATATGAAAATATGGAATATATATCAGAAACTATAAAAGTCACAGATAAGAAATGTTCGGGTATCCTTTGTAAGGCATTAAAGCAGGAAATACCAAAAAATCAGATCAATTGAACAAAGGGCACAAAAGTTACAAAGGGATTTACCGAGGAAAATTGACAATTCACCCCAAATTGCTTAACGTGATTTTAATTCATGAAGTATATGTATGTCCACCGAGCTGAAATTTTCAGGGATTGTAGTCACTTTATTGAGATAAATTTCAGTGAAAATTTCAGCTTTCTATCTATAATAGAAAATAAGTTATGACCTTTTAAATTTATCCAAAATCTAAATCATAAGGTAGGTACCTTCTTACTAAAACGATGAAATTTCAAAATTTTTTTTGTCGGGATTTTGTATCCTAATGGTCAATCAACACACCCCAAACTTCATACACTAAATTATTCTCAGATTTGAAACCGAACTCTATGAAAAAAGGTACTCAGAAAAATTGGAAAATTGATAAATCACCTCAAATTGCTTAACACGATTTTATCTCAGGAACTATAAGCGCAAATGAGCTAAAATTTTCAGGGATTGTAGTCCTTTGAAAGGGATAAAATTCAGTGAAAGTTTCAGCTTTCTATCTATAATAGAAAATAAGTTATGACCTTTTAAATTTATCCAAAATCTAAATCATAAGGTAGGTACCTTCTTACTAAAACGATGAAATTTCAAAATTTTTTTTGTCGGGATTTTGTATCCTAATGGTCAATCAACACACCCCAAACTTCATACACTAAATTATTCTCAGATTTGAAACCGAACTCTATGAAAAAAGGTACTCAGAAAAATTGAAAAATTGATAAATCACCTCAAATTGCCTAACACGATTTTATCTCAGAAACTAGGTATAAGTGCAAATGAGCTGAAATTTTTAAGGATTGAAGTCCTTTACTAGGATAAGAATTGCTGAAGATTTCAGGTTTCAATCTATGAAGGAGACCCCTCAAAGATTTCAAAAATCTAAATAAGCAGTTTGCTTCCCAATAACAAGCTTAAAGAAGAAAAATAATTGCTTAATATATACTCAACAGACCAATGCCTACTTTTATTATAAACAGTATAATTTGAGATAACCTGAAAATATTCAACATTAATATTCAATTTATATTAAAACATAATTATTGAAATAAGCCAAATTAACATAATTTTCGCCAGTCATAATAATTTAAATCCGATACTAATAATAATAATATTGTAATCAAATATCATTATTCAGATTAACAATGATTGCATTTATATTTATTCATTATCAGCAGCAGCACAATTCAATAAAATATCGAATTCGTCCTAAAAGTGAATAAAGGTGCGTGGGAACAAGCTTAAAAGGGACCCAACACAAACCCTTAAACAACCTGCTTTATGTTTGTGTGAGAAAAGGGATATTTTTAGAGAGGCACCTGTTTCTATGATTTCTGGTGGGAATTTTCTTAAAATATTTAAAACTTTCGCACTAAACTGTAAAGCTAATTAAAAAAGTAGCCTCATTTCAAGGCTAATAGATAAGAGCCCAGTATTTTACGAGGAAGCTAATTTCTAATGTTTTCTAGGAACAATATCCTTAATTGATTAGATAGTTAAAATATGTGAAGGGCAAAGCAAAAGTCTTCATAAAGATTCATCAAGCATGACTAAGTCTTATGAGTGAAAATTAATATTATTGTTAAATCGTACAAAAGGAAGTACTAAAAATGACTAAGGCGCCTTTCAAGGAAACCTGACATCATTAGAATACAAATGTGAAAATAAACGTTTAAAGATTCAATAAGAGAAAAAGCCATTTTTGCATATTTAAATGTATGTATAAGCTCAAATGTGTTTGACTGTTGATTTTTAACGTAGGTACATATTTTCCAATAATATTTTCGTGTCTAGGTATAACCAATCAAATTTCAAAAAAAAAAAAAAACTACCCCTCGAGCCTATAAAAAAACGATTTCAATACCACTGTTTGATCAATACTCTGCATATAAAAGACTCTTTGAGATATCGTGTTTCCCATCAAAATAATGAAGACCTTAATATAATATTTCCCAAAAGAGAAAATGCCTCTTTGCATTGCTGCTGGTAGCATCGAGTGACACTCTATATTATTATGGAAAGAAAAAAGCACATTGGGTTCAATATATAGATATAAGATCAATTCAATGGCAAATAATTAGTCTTTGATTAATTAATAGGGGAATAATTATGGGAAACTTTTCTCTTTTGGTTTTGTTTCTCTAATCTCGTAATTATAGTGAATTTCGGTTTTGTTCAAACTTCCTGCGAATTGTTCCGATAATGATGGCCTGATAGATTACTTGATTTGAGTCCGTGTGATTTTTTTTCGTACCAAAGTGCAAAACTGTTGAAACAAATATACAATTTTGTTTATCACAATAACTGGCATAAACCTAAGTATTCTTTGGTATAATGCAACTTAATTTTTCTTAAAAGTTTCAAGTTGTGTAAAAAATTCTTTCAAGAGTTTTTTGTTCAGCAACTTCTTGAAAGTTTGTAAAACATTGTTAACATAACTTACCGCTAAATTTTCCAAAATATTCCTGCAATCTGTTTCCGGTACGTTGTCGGCAATTTTGATGACCAACTCTTCATAAGCTCCATTCCGCAACTCCAAACTTTGCGTCAGACTCAAAAGTCCCAAAACTAACAAAAAGTTTTTCAAATCCATTTTTGAATATTGTCTCTAGAACTTGCCAACTATCATCACTTTTTGAAAAAATCACAGTTCCAAAAAAAAAAACAAAAATATCAATTGTGGTATTTAAACTATTGATTTTAAGTATTTAGCAGAGGTGAGTTACCACGACGACACAATCAAATAACAACAAATCCTGCTGCCGGTTACAGTGGTTATCTACGTAATAAACCTACTACGAGCTTTTCGTTGCTGGTGTAGCGCGAAGCTTTAAGGACGAAAGCCGTAATCGGACTGATGTGAGCAAAGCACTCGCTCGGGCCCCGTTGCTGAAGATGAGCTTTCTGGTTTCGAGCCGATTGAAATTTCGACTCCCACTACTCGGAGCGGCCGGTGCAATTTTCAGTAAGGCACGGCTATGGGTAAGTCAGGTAGCTTTTGTCCAGAGGGCTTTTATCCCCACCATGGGTTGCAATGCATATAAGTTTTGTTCACATATGAAATCCTCATTATTTTTGTTGTTGATGGATAGCGAGGTTTTGGCGAGAGCGCAAGGCAATTTCGAATGGGAGCCAATTCTGTTTTTGGAGGGCTTTCGGGCATGTCGAGTGGATTTGTGGTGATTATACCCAGCAATCCAATTTAAATCTATTTTAGAGTAATTTTCTGGTAATTCTCTATCGGAATTTTTATGTTTAAATGATCATTTGGGATCCCCCAAACTCCGTACACTAAATTATTCTGAGATTTGAAGCCGAAATCTCAGAAAAATTGAAAAATTGATAATTTTCCCCAAATTGTCTGACGCGATTTTACTTCAAAAACTATAAATCCAAACGAGCTCATAAGGTAGGTAGGTACCGGGTGATTGTCTATATTTTGCACCTCCACCTATATCACCTGTTTGAGGAGATACACAGAAATGTCGAGTGTAAAAGTTTTAGGTATCACAAAATTTTCAATGATGTTAGTTACAAGTATACAGGGTGTGTCACAAAAATGTGCCGAAGCAAAGTTACACTTTTTTGAATGGAAAACCCCATATATTATTGTCCCATTGGATTAGCCTTTCAAACCCTGATTTCAAATATACTAGGTTTTTCACGTTTATCCTCATATTCCAGCCTCTGAGAATACCATTTTAAAGAAATAATATGGATTTTTTACATGAATGTGTAGTATAACATACTCCGGGTTCGTTCAGTAAGATTGCACGGTGTGAATTTTTATTACCTTTTAAACAACAAATCTTCTGAAATATGAAATGAAAAACAAATAGTACCTACGTTGTGAGAATTTACTCAATTTTACTTACTGGACATGTGCCCGACATAGCAAATATTAGGAAAATTTAAGGAAAGTTGTGATATGTAAAAGAAACGAAAAATTTGTGAAACGTCTACTTTATTATTAAAGTAAATCTTACCGTTCTCGACCGTGAATTCTCGAGGGGAAAGAGAACGGCAGAGAAACCCTTGATCTAACATTCCTTAAAAATCGAAACATACTGTATCAATTTAATAATAATTGTGAGTCATTAATTCAATAATTTAAGTCATTAAAAGTTTAAATTAGGTACCGTCTTTGGTCTGGGTCCTAAAATTTTAATTACACACGCAACATTCAATCAACATTACCTATATTCAATACTGAAGAGTTTTTTTGTTAGTTAGCCAGTTTCACATCGGATACTGAGGTCCCATACGGGAAGCTACTCAGTCATAGTTGTTTTTGAGCCAATATCTCTAGACTGATTATTTCATTTTGTTAGGATATTCTCTTGTCAGGGTAGGAAAATGTTGGTAAATTTAACAAGGCCCTAATACACGATCTAAATCCACAAAATCAAAATCTCAGCACAAAAAGACAGCACATAATTTCTTAGGTTCTAATTTACTTCTTTATCTGTGTTGTTTACAGTATGAAACGATTTTTGTTAAATACATGAACAATGCACATGTTATAAAAAATGTTATAAACAAACAAAAAAATACATAAAAATAAACAAAATAATACGAACTTGCATAAATTGAACTCTCAAAAACAAAATAACATGCAATCCACTAACCTGTGAACGCTCCTTACACACACACTAATAACGAATTGGATTGAACAATCAATTTTAATGCCAAATAGAAATGAAATGAATAATTACAGACACGCGACACGTTTTCTAAGGGACCAGTCCAGCTCATTCTGTAGTCTAGTTGTGTTCGGTTTCGGTACCTTCGTTTTCTGTGGCGCGCCCCGTTCAAGCCTAAATTTGATGGCGCAGACATGGCTGCAACATTCACTTTTATTCAGTAACCGATTTTTAAAAGGTAAAATTTGAAGAAATAATATTTTAAATAGGTGGTTTTTCTCAAATGATTACCTTTATATTTTGCTGGTGGTCTCTATACTTCACCTTTTCCAATAAAAATGCAATTATTCCACCCCTTTTTGACCTATTTTCTCCCGAACTATTAAGAATAAACCTAAAAAACCCAGTATATTTGGAATTAGGTTTGAGAAGCTAATCCAATGGGACAATAATATACAGGGTGTCACGAAAGGTTTGTTACAAACTTCTAGGGATGGTAGGTAGATCTCGTAAAAATAAAACTTTTTTGTTAATAAACATGTGTCCGGAAATGCTTCGTTTTCCAGATATACAGGGTGGTCCAAATTTGAGCCTCATCATTGGGATCTTGGTAATCGTAAGAGATACAGACGGTCGGTTAAATTATGGCAAAGTTGCGCAATTTTATGACCAATAGAATACCGTTTTGAAACTAGAAAGATTCCGAATATTTCCGGAGATATTCGGAAAAAACCAAAATTTTGTAAAATCGTTTTTATTTTTTCCCGGGCTTATTTGAAAAGCAATTTTAAAATAAATGTCACTTCATCCGTGTTACTTTTTCTCCTTTAGAAGATGGCGCTACTAAATTTGAAATTCGACGTTTCGTCTTCAGGCGGCCATCCTCAACTTCCTTTTTTTAAATACGGACCTGAATTTTTTATTTGCGATTTTGTCATCTTTGCGCATCCTAAAACCGATACTGTTTATAATTGTTCAATAACACAGCAAAAAAAAGCAGGTCCATATTAAAAAAAAAAAAAAATTAATGATGATTTCAGAGGAACGAAACATTGGATTTTAAATTTAATACCACCAACTTGTAGAGAAGAAAAAGTGACAATGGCAAGGTGAAATTAGTTTTCCACAATCTCTTTAAAAAAAATCAAAAAAGAAAACTATACGAAAAAAAAAAAAGAATTTCTCGTTTTTCTTAAATTTTTTCCTGAATTCATTTAAAAAGATTTTGAAAAACTAATTTCACATTCCCATTGTCACTTTCTCTTCTTTACAAGATGGCAGTATTAAATTTGAAATCCGACATTTTTCAAATACGGACCTGCTTTTTTACCGTGTTATTGAAAAATTATAAACAGTATCGGTTTTAGGATGCCCAAAGATGACAAAATCGCAAATAAAAAAATCAAGGTTCGTATTTGAAAAACGTAAGTTAAGGATGGCTGCTTGAACACGAAACGTCGAATTTTAAATTTAGTAGCACCATCTTGTGACATTTATTTTAAAATTGCTTTTCAAATAAGCCCGGGAAAAAAAAAAAGATTTTTCAAAATTTTGGTTTTTTCCGAATATCTCCGGAAGTCTTCGGAATCTTTCTAGTTTCAAAACGGTATTCTATTGGTCATAAAATTGCGCAACTTTGCCATAATTTAACCGACCCCGTATCTCTTACGGTTACCGAGATCCCAATGATGAAGCTCAAATTTGGGCCACCCTGTATATCTGGAAAACGAAGCATTTCCGGACACATGTTTATAAAGAAAAAAGTTTTATTTTTACGAGATCTACCATCCCTAGAAGTTTGTAACAAACCTTTCGTGACACCCTGTATAGGGTTTTCCATTTAAAAAAGTATAGCTTTGCTTCGCCACACTTTTGTGGCATATGAAATAATTTGAATGTTTTTGAAAAACCGTCAAAAAGTGACTGAATATTTCATAGGTAATATGAAAATCGTTAGTGTCAAAAAAGTTCATTGAAACAGTCGAAACAGTGACATTTGAATTTTTACTGAGAAACCGTTAATGTTAGAAGCGTAAAATTTAATTTTACTAGACAATCGGTAAAGTCAAAAATGTCACAATAATTAATTTTTTGAAAACCGTTAATGTGACAAAGTGACATTTGAATTTTTTAACAGGAAAATCGTTGATTTGAAAAAATTCTAGGAAACCGTTAATGTCAAAAAAATGTTACATTTAATTTACTAAAAACCGTTAACGTCCAAAAAGTGTTTTTGAATTTTTTACCAATTTCCGTTATTGTCGAAAAAAAAATACATTCCCATTTTTATTAAAAACCATTAATGTCAAAAAGTGATTTTTAATTTTTAATGGAAAACCGTTAAAATGTCAAATACGTCACATTTGAATTTATCTAGTAAACCGTTAATGTCAAAAATGTAATTTTTTATTTTTTTTGGAAGTGATATTTTAATTTTTTTTGAAAATCGTTGATGTCAAAGACGTTACTCTTGAATTTTACTGAACAATCGTTAATGTCAAAAACATGAAGTTTGATTTTTCTTGAAGACCGTTAATCTCAAAAAAGTTTCATTTAACTAGAAAACCGTTAGGTAATATCAAAAAAAGTGACATTTGAAATGTTTTTTTTTGAAAACTCGCTAACGTCAAAGAGTGATTAAATATTTTATTGGAAAATCGTTATGTGTCAAAAAAAAATTATGGAAAAGGCAAAACAGTGACATTTGAAATTTTCACTAAAAACCGTTAACGTCGAAAACGTTACATTTGAATTTTCACTGGGAACCCGTTACTGTCAAAAGCGTAAACTTCAATTTTACTAGAGAACCGTTAGTGTCAAAAATGTCATATTTAATTTTTCGAAAAATGCGACATTTTGAATTCAGAATCGTTAATGTCAAAATAATGACATTTGATTTTTTCTTGGAAATTGTCGTTAAAACAACATTTGAATTTTTACTGAAAAATCGTTAATTTCAAGGATGTTACAATTATTGAACTATTATTAAAAGAAAAAACGTTAATGTCAAAAACGTCTCAACATAAAAAAATTTTTTTTGAGATTTTGTGTCCTAATAGTCCTTTGAGACCCCCTCAACTCCATAAACTAAATTATTCTGAGATTTGAAGCCGAAATCTATGAAAAAAAGCACTTAGAAATATTTGATAAAGGACCCCGCAATATTTAAATGGAAATTGGTTACCCGTGATATTTGGATGAAATTTAAATATGTTATTGGGGATGCCGTAAGCAACATTTTTTACCATGGGCACAACCCTGTATATATGACAGGTGAGGCGTGGTTAGCTGTCA